AGGATAATATATAAACTCTAGAAATGACAGACAACTCACTGCCTGGTCAGTCACCCGAAGTTCTTCTATAATGTTTCATCTTCAGCCTATAGGCCATAGTGTGACTGACAGACTACTCTGGCAGTTTGTCAGTCACTTTTCTCTGTGCCCTGCAGAAAGTCTGGCAGACTCTTCCATGAAGCAGAAACCCTGTAGCAATGTCCATCTTGTATCAGCAGTCACTTTTCTGTGGGTCCTGCATGTCCAGTTTATACAGCATAAAATCAAACAGTTCACACAAGAGCAATATCTTGCCCAAATAACAGTCTTGTTTCTTCGATGTCCATCTTCCTTTCTGATGTAGGTGGTGTTGCCAGGAGCAGTTATGTCTCACTGTTAAGAAAACCCCTAAACCATTTTAAATGCCATATTTTGTAGTATTTGAAAGTTTGGAAGAATGTCTATTCATCAGATATATATCTCTGTATATCTAGAAATCCTAACTTAACTATAAGTTTTAACTATTACAGGTAACTATCTAAAATATTTATTAAATTATACATTACATTTCTAAATGAGCTATATAAACACAATACCTAAACAAGAGAAATATACATATCACAAAATTGACATTAAGTTATACCAATAAATGAAAATCCATTCTAAAACAAAGTATTCATATCTATACCATAATCCCCTTTTACCTTTAAAAAGAAATTGGTTGTGGTCATTAACCATTTATAATCAAGCCTATTTAAATATAAGCAAACATTTATAAACAATATTTGGGAATTTGGGCAGCATTCTTTCCAAACTGCTTCCTGTTGGTAGTGGGCGCTGTCATGGGGGATTCTAAGAAGATGAAGAAATCCTGGCTGTAGTCTGCAAGGCTGCCTTGCCCCAACTGTTTTGAATGTTGGATCACCTGGGATGCCGTTTTCAGGGGGTCTGGCTTCATCCAACCATGTTAGTCTGGAAGGAATCCACAGCTTTTCATTTTCTGTGGAAACAAAAATAGAAATCCTTTCCCCCAATAACCTGTCCTTAGACTTAAATTTTGAAGTCAAAGCATTTTTAAAATATATAAATTGAATTAATCCAGCGGCATTTCTTTTAACAGTTGTTGCTATTTCCTCAGCAGTCAAATAATTTAAAGACAACAGAACAGCATATAGTAGCCACACTCTTTTTTGTGCTTCCCATCTTTATGTGGCTTCTTTATTACTCTATTACTTCTACTTCTATTTTTTCATTTTTTGAGACATGGTTTCTCTGTGAAACTTTATCTGTCCTGTAATTAACCAGGTTTACTTTGAAATCACAGAGATCTACTTGCCTCTACCTCCCAAGTGCTGGAATTAAAGGTGTGTGCCACCACACCCAGCTACTCTGTCTTTTTAAAACCATTTTATTCTTTTTCTCTGCCAAGCCTAAATATATTTAAAAACATACTGTAAACCTTTATCAGTTTTTCTTAATGTTAATCTGTCTTTACTGTAAGTCTTTATCTTTTTGTGTCCACCAGTCTTTTATCTGGTAAACAACAACATTGCTAAAATGAAAGCCACAGCTGTATTAGCCTCAGACTGTCCAAGATGGTGGCGGGTACTTTTACTGCCAGAACTGAGAGCTGTGCTCATTGCCTTGGTCTATGCTGCCACCCACCAGCATGTTGCTGGCTTGGAGATGTGGTCACTGCCATTGCCAGTTCTCATACATATCATTTAGTTGTTAGCAGAGCTCTTTAAAAGCCTTGTGGGTTTTTGCCGCTTATGCTGAGTCAGGAAACCTCCCTTAAAAGAGCCGTGCAAGTCTCTAGCAAAACAGATTATAACCAAAAAAAAAAAAAAAAAAATTGCTACCAGGAAGTCTTGCTTATCTCTGTTCTTTTGTTTCTAAAACCCTTTCTTAAGCTTTTGTTAACTTTTAAGTGGAAGTTCTTAGGTCCGCGTTGGTCACCATTTTGTTATGAGTAGTTTTTTTTTCCCTGCGGGTTTGGTCCCACTGCCATGTCAGCCACAATTAACATACAGAGACACTGTATTAGATATAATTCTGTTGGCCCGTTACTAATTTCTTATAGGCTAGCTCTGTCTTAATTATTAACCCATTTCTACTAATCTAAGTACTTCCACGTGGTCTTATCTTACCGGAGAGAGGGGCTGGCATTCTTCTCTCTCCATCCTCCATCATGAATCTTCTCCCCTACTACTTCCCCTCTCCTCCTTGTCTCCTAGTCCTGCCTATCATGCTTTCCTATTGGCCAACAGTGCTTTATTCATTAACCAATACGAGAAACATACTTACAGAATGACATCACCCATCATACTGTGATTTTTTTTCCCCTTATTTGTCTGTGGTGTGTTTTGTGTGTACACTCACATGTGTAAGTACACTTGTGTGTGCTTGTGCATGAAGGCTCAAGGTTTGATGTGACATGTCTTTAATCATTCTCCACCTAAGACCCTGAGGGAGGGGCTCTTATTGAATGCAAAGCTTGTTGATTCAGCTAATCTGTCTAGCCAGCTTGTTCAAAGCTGCCTCTGCCCTGATATATAGCCTCCTGTGCACTGAGATTACAGGGGACCACCACACCCACCTAGCTTTTTTTATGAGTTCTTGGAGTTTGAACTCTACTACTCTCTCCTGCATAGTAAGTTATTTAACCCCCAAAACATCTTCTCAGTCTTTATAATGTAATTCTTTATTAAATATCTGTTTCCTTTTCCTTCTCCTCAGTACCTCCCCCATTTCACCCAAATACACACACACACACACACACACACACACACACACACACACACACACGCACACACACATGTACACGCACACACACACACACACGGGATTGGGGGGGATCTAGAGTGTCTAACCTTTCCCTATTAAATATATATTCCTTGGTTTGTATGTATACATGTAATGAAAGAAATGTTAGCAATGTGTTAGGATTTCTAACAGTCAAAAAATTAGTTTCTGCAGTTCAATAAGAAATTTCTGGGCCAGTAAGATGGCTCAGTGAGTAAAGTACTTCATACCATCCTGAATGTGATTTGGAATCCCCTAAGAGCCACATGATGGAAGGAGAGAACTGACTCTCTAGCAAGTTGTCCTCTAACCTCTACACTCATACCATGACATAAGTGCATGCACATGCATAAGTAAATAAATGTAGTAATTCTTTTTACAAAAAAATTTTAAAATAAACTTCCTTCTTATTAAAAAAGTAAATGTTTTCCTTTCCTCCCCCTCATTTTCTCCTACTTCTCTCTCCATTCCCTGCCCCCCCCCACTTCACCTGAGCTCTGGGGGACTTGTCCCTTCCCAGTTCTGTGAGGGACTTTATATGAATCTCTTAGAATACACCTTGTATCCTAGTTCCTCTGGTGATGTGAATTATAGGCTGGTGATCCTTTGCTCTAGGTCTAAAATCCATATATGAGTGAGTACATACTGTGTTCCTCTTTTTGTGACTGGGTTACCTCATTCAGGATGGTTTCTTCAAGTGCCATCCACTTGCCTGCGAATTTCAAGATACCATTATTTTTTTCTGCAGAGTAGTATTCCATTGTGTAGATGAGCCACATCTTCATTACCCATTCTTCAATTGAGGGGCATCTAGGTTGCTTCCAGGTTCTTGCTATTACAAATAGTGCTGCTATGAACATAGTTGAACAGATGTCTTTGTTGCATGGATGTGAATCCTTTGGGTATATGCCTAAGAGGGGGATTGCCGGGTCCTGTGGTAAACTAATTCCCATTTTCCAGAGGAACCGCCATACTGATCTCCAAAATGGCTGTATGAGTTTGCACTCCCACCAGCAGTGGAGGAGTGTTCCACTTTCTCCACATCCTCTCCAACATAAGTCATCACTGGTGTTTCTAATTTTAGCCATTCTGGCAGGGGTAAGATGGTATCTCAAAGTTGTTTTGATTTGCATTTCCCCTGATAGCTAAGGATGTGGAGCATTTTCTTAAGTGTCTTTCAGCCTTTTTGATTTCCTCTATTGAGAATTCTTTCTTCAGTTCTGTACCCCATTTTTTAATAGGGTTATTTGGTGTTTTGTTGACTAGTTTCTTGAGTTGTTTGTATATTTTGAAGATCAGCCCTTTGTCGGATATAGGATTGGTGAAAATCTTTTCCCCAGTCTGTGGGCTGCCGTTTGGTCTTGTCCACTGTGTCCTTTGCCTTACAGAAGGTTCTAAGTTGACAGCAGGAAGTAGTTTGGAAAGAACGATGCCCAAATTCCCAAATATTGTGTATAAATGTTTGTTTTCATTTAATTGGACTTTGTTATATAAAATAAAATAATAAAAAAAACACTTTTCAATGTAAAAAAAAATAAATGTATCAGAAACATGTTTGATGGTTCTCTTCAAACTGCTATCTTAAACTAGGGAAAGAATGTTCATTGAGTTTGTTAACAGTAGATTTTAAAAAAATCTTTCATTTTAAAGTGGCTTCTGGGTTCTCTCTTTATATATCATTGTAGGCATGATGGAACATCTCAAACCTCACTAGTCAGTTAAATTTAAAAATCAGTGATTATCATGTCCTTTCATGAGTATCTCTGAATCTATCCCAAGATGTAAATGTGTTATACTTTTCTTAGTTTGAGTCAACCCTCTTAATAGGTACTAACAGCAGAAAACAAGAAGAGGTATAACCTAGAAGTCTTTATCCCCTGTATTTACCCTCAGTACCACTTTTGCAATCACAGCTGAGTATGCATTATCACATGTTGTGCTAATGCTAGATAGTAGAAGCATCAGCTATGTAGTGCTAACTGATTTTCTATGTATTGAAAACATCACTCCTGTGTAACCTCATCCAGGTTTGTTCATTTTGACCATCACAAACACAGCAATGACTTCTTTGCTGTCTCTTATAATAGTTATTCAAAGCTGGGCTTTTCAAAGTGTTTTCCCTAGGTTAATTTTAATTCTTCATTAATTGACTAAGATTCTTGCTAAAAAGAATTTCACTTATATCTTTAAGGTTATTCTTCTCTTTGTTCCCCCAGAAATTGGCCCTGCCTCTGTGATGGTGGGAAACCTGGTGTCTGGGAAGAGGATTGCCCAGGCTAGTGGCAGAGACCTGGGTCAGATAGAGGACAATGACCAGGCCCGGAAGGTGAGAACCGAGGTCAGAGCTCATATTATTCTCTTGACTCTAGAGCTGTGTTAACTATTTGTAGAATCACAGAGTGACTGTCCTGATTCTCCACTATGTCAGTTCCATATCTATTACTGATTTCACATCTTTGATGATACTACCCCGACTTCACAGTAGAGATTCATAGTCTTATAGGGGAGAATGTTTCAGGGTACATGAGGCTTTAGGAAATTGCAGCAAGGGCACAGAAATGAAGAAGTGACATCATTAACATGGGCAGGACTGTGACAAATGTTAAGAAATCATTAATCTTCATCACTTGTTTCTAAGTAGCCCCCCTGTCAGCTCTGATGTGAAGCCCATGCTGCCTCATAGTGGCCTTGGTGCACAGTTTTTGTCTTTTGAGTTTAACAGTTAACCTCTTTATTGCAGCTTAAAGAGCAAATATCTAGCTCCTCCTCACCCATACAGCAAAGCACATAACTTGCCTATGTATTTCTCAGTCCCATTGTAACACTTCCTTTCTGAAAATGCTTAGGATTCTGTTTCCCACAGCCCAATGATAGGCCTATTCAGTATTGCCTATTTAGGAAAGTGATGAAATTATGAAAATACTGCCAGTGTAATAACATACAGCAATTTCTTTGTTAAAAGAACTTGACCATCACACTCCTCTCATGTAATACATTTCTATTAATAAAAGGTGTTAGGGTATTATATGGATATTTCATATATGCTCATGTGAATTAGGGCTATCCTTTTTATTACAAACTTAATCAATAAGATACATTTAATAATCTATGTTATTGCAGTGCAATTTAATAGCACCAGAGAATTGGCATTCTACAATCACATTTAATAGAAGTTTTTTTAAAGTAAACTAGATTATATTCTTTCCCTGCATATCACAGAAATCAACATTACATATTTTAGCTGGTTGTACTTATAAGAGCGTTAACTCTCCTCTGCCTTGGGCTGACTTATAGAGCCCTTGCCTAACCAAGGGTACTATAGCAGTCCTTGGAGCTGTCCGTCTGAATTAGTTTCATTGAATTATAAATGACTACAGGGGAAAGCCTAGTATTTGCTTGTTCTGCTGATGATATATTTGCTTGACTTTTTTTTAAATGTGAATGTGTCCTCGTGCCTCTGTGTAGAAAAGCATGCACTCAAACTATTTTTACTTAAATATATTGATATTGCCTAATCCAGACTCCAGTGGCATGATTCTAACATCCTTGTGTCTTTCCAGTTCCTGTTCCTCTCAGAGGTCTTACAGTGGAGAGCGCAGACCACCCCAGACCACCTACTGTACACACTGCTCAATTGTCGGGTAGGCTCCAGAGCCTCAAAGCTCGCATTTTCCTAATTACTTACTTTAGTAGTCTGAACTTTTCCCTGAAAAGTTACCTCCTTTTACAACATTCCCAAAGACTTCTGTTCCCTGATTCTGTGGTAAAATACTCTAACAAAAGCAACATATGGGGGAAAGGATTTACGTCTGCTCAGAGGTTACAGTTCACATCATGAAGAAAGTCACAGTGTCTGGAGCTTGAGGCAGCAAGTCAATCATACTCCGTCCAGCAGTGAAGAAGCAGAGAGCAAAGCAATAAATATATATTTCTCACTGCTCTCACTTTATCCTCAGTATTTCCCACCCAAAACTGGGAGGGTAATAATATCTACAGAAGAGAACTAATTCAGTTCCAGGAGATAGTTATATTCTTATTCTTATTACAAACCAATTTGTTTACATATAAATATGTGTTTGTTACATGGCTCTAGTGAATGAAAACCATTTCTACTTTATAAAGTTTCTGTTTAAAGTTCACATTATGAAATCAAACTCTTCCACCGTAAGAGACCTTGGAAGTGAGACCTTAAATATAGGAGGAAATATTAACAGTAGAAGTTACATGCTGCAAATATCTAATTTTGTTTTTTTTTTGTTTGTTTTTAACTTTTATTTATGCTGTAGAACTAAAGCTTGTTAAACAGACCATGATTTCTTGGTGGGGACAGCTACCTGCAAGTTAGTAAATGTGCAGCTGTTTAGTATTCCTAATTATCAAAGTCTTGAGTGTTCAAAAGTTTGGTTTCTAGTTATCAGGGTGTTTGTGTGTGATCTGAGTTCCTCTGAATATATGTACTTGCTCTGTCATAAAAGTCCTTCTCAGCTTGAAATTGCCCTTTGTGGCATTGGCCATGGTGGTTCATCATATGCTATATCTGCTTAAGACCTATTGAAGGAGAGTCCTTGTAAACAAGAAAGAACATTTCCCTATTGTCCCCTTATTCTCTGAATGTAAAGTGGCATAGCTCTTCTCTGAGAGGCACGCTGTCTTCACAGCCCATAGGCCTCCTCCTTTATATGATCATTTGTTCATAGAGCCTGAACTTTGTGAATTCAGTAATCACATACCCATGCTCCTAAAATGACTCCCTCTTTTTTCTGTATTTCAGTTTTATTACATTTTTGTCTTTCTGTGTTCTTACATGGGTACATGTATGAAACAGTACTAACTTCTAGAAGTTAGAGGACAACTTGTGGGAGTCAGTTCTCTCTTTTTCCATTACATGAATCCTAGATATTGAACTCAGATCTTCAGGGTTATCAGCATGTACCTTTCTTTACCTGATAATCCATCCCTCTGGTCCCAGACTTCCATTTTATCTTATTTACTGAATCCACCTTTAACCTATAGATATAGACATGACTCTCCTTACTCACATAACTGTCCATTTTCATCTTCCTTCACATCTATGATATTTTCACTTACCTTTAATCTTCCCTCTTCCTGGATTCTTGTGACTCTCTCCGTGTTGTTTTTCCTGTAAGTTCCTCTTGACTTTCCTTTGTCCATCTGGCTCTCCCTCTTCCAATATTGCCTCCTAAGTGATGTCTAGAATGTATGGTCTTAGCTGTAACTGACCTCCTTTTCTCTGGGCATGGTACTTTTTACATTTTTTTTTTTTTTTTTAATGAGTAGAGCTTTCTCCTTTTCATTAATTTCCCTAACACTGCCATGGTAATTGAATCCTGTACAAACTGTCAACATTTAGAGAGCAAGTCAGACTTGAATCATTATTAATTCATTATTAATCTCCCCACCCCCAACCCCATCCCATTAACATTGCTCAATACCTCGCTTGCATTTTTGTAAGATGGATAAACACATGTGTTCAAATTTTGTGGAAGTCTAAGTCTAAGCTCACGAGGAAGTAGATCCTTAGAGATATGAAGATTCAAACTTGATGGCAATATGTTCATGAACAGATCATCTATGAAGAAGATATCTCAAATACCTCCTTGGAGTGATGTCAGACATCCGATCTTTGTGACCTTTTGAACATTGTCCAGGCCCTTGAACTCTGTTATTATAGTCATTTACTAGAGCAAATCATTGAATCTATGGTAAAATGTTTAGTAGAAAATAACTCACATACTTTAAAGTGATTTCAACAAATGACCTTCAGTTATAAAAGTCAAAGCCATTAATAAATTTACTTTAGCTTAGAATGCAAAAAATATGGTCCAAGGGTACCTTCTCCTTTTATATGTGGCCCATTCCTAACTCTCCTGTGATCTATATGCAGTTTCATTCTGAGATGTCTGAAGGGTCACAGTGTCTTCAGAAAAGTTCAGAGTCAAGCAGCTTGTAGCCTCTCTCTGCACTTGGAGCAAATTATAAGTGCTCAACCTGTAACACAGCAGCAACATGGTCACTACAGTATAATTTCCACTTAAATCTATGTCTTGTTTAGTCAAACAGGAAAACATCATAGGTCATGTGTATAGTCATGTTTTCTAAATGCAGCATTAAAAGAGTACATAGATACATGAGAATTCATTTTTTTAATGAATTTCTTGTGACATGTCTGGGGGACCGTTATGTGTCACCTGTGGCTTTTCCAATGCTTTTTTACAACCCATGCTGCATTGTTGTGCAAAGCATTTTAATAACTATGAGTTTAATTTTCTTTAACTTTCTTAAACTATGGATCTTTTTAGGGTAATTAGGACATGTGACTTCAGAATGTGAAGGGTACTTCTTGTTGCCTTTGGTATCCAATCATGTACTTACATCCATGGCAATTAGCTGTCATAATTAGGTGTGAGGTTTGCAAGTTTGAAGTTTGGAATATTGCATAATAAGATGATCACTAACCCCAAATTCCCAAATATTGTCTATAAATGTTTGTTTTCATTTAAATGGACTTGGTTATTAAATAAATAAATAAATAAATAAAATAATCACTAACAATGGAAAATTTTCCCTCTCAAAACATGCAGAATATCCTTTTTTAATTTTACCAGGAACTCTAGCCAAATCATTTAATTTTTTAGTTTTGTTTATTTGGAGTATTTTTCTTTGTAATTTCAAACCATGACTTTTATTTGGCCTTTTCTTCATTCCTTGATTGTTTCAGTTGTTATAATAAAACTTTAAAATAGTGTCAAGTTCACAGTCAGTGACATTAATATTTGTTGTGTTTAGAATGGAGGCTGACCCCCAGGATGTCTGTGCATTACCATCCTGCCAATAGAAACTCTCCCATGAATATATTAAAAGACAGTTCTAACTTGACAAAATAACTTTACCTAGAAATCTGCTTTTTATTTGGTGGTTTGAGACTAGAAATAAATTTTTCCCATGAATGCTGATGAGAATGTTGGGAAATAATGGCTGTTACCTGAGGTTAAATGATTAAAGCATCGTGGAAACACTTGGAACGTGTGTTCCTAATAGGTAGTGCTTGGAAAAACAAAATATGTTCTGAAAATTGGCAGTATTTCTATTGTATTAAAAGATTTTTTAAATTCCTTAACTGAATAGAGGTTGGAGAAATAGTTCATCCAATAAAGTGCTTACCTTATAAGTATGAGGACATGAGTTCAACTCCTGTAATGTACAATGGAAAAAAAGATGAAGTGCTTATAATTGCAGCCTTGGGAAAGTAGAGACATGTGGATCCCTGGGTTCAAGGACACTGAGAGAACTCTTCTCAAAAAAGATGGGAGTAGACAGCAGCTGAGGATGAACTACATCTGAGGTTGCCCTCTTCACTCTCTGTGCATGTGCACAAAACATGCACCCTCACATACATGAACACAAACACACAAGACTATTAAAGAGCAAGTGACTATATACTTGTGTCACTTTTTATATTCATTATATGGTGGAGTCAACCTTGCAAGCTGGAAGGAGGAAAAGCAAGGAATAGAATAATGTCTAATTATTATTGGCATTCAAACTGTCAGACTATTGTGAGTTACTCTTTAGATATGGGAAAGAAGGATCTTAACACTTTAAACATCTAGTGGCCCAGTGAGGGATTCCAGTGTTCCGGTGAAGACTATTTATTACAAGCAAGAAAGTTACCCATTTGTTGGTCACCTCATTACATAGCTCCAGGTATGGAGCAAAAAATCACGTCAGATCTACCTAACATAGGATAATCTACCTCTTTCCAACATACCAGCCTCTGAATGGACTTAAGCGTAATAGTAATGAATTTCAAGTCTCTATACATGCTAGCTTCAGATCAATCCTAATTCCCATAAAGCGTGTTTCTCCACACACGGGGTGTGATGGGTTAATTTTTTTTATTAATCCCCCCAAAAGCCAAGTGTTTTAGAAATTGTTGAAGAACTTTATCAAAGGTAAAATCTAGCATGTAAATTAAATTTCACATTTTGTCAAAAGCCTGTAGGTAGGAATTTTCAGGAACTAGAATTAAAGTGTATTTTTGAAGAAATTAGTGACTGCTCTTTGTAAGCTATACACCTTCTCAACTCTCAGAACCAGAGAAAGGAAAAGGGCAAATCATGGGCTTGAGTCTTCCAACAATAGGTTATTGATGAGTGATTGTATTAATCCACCTTTTGTTGCTATAATAAAATCTCTGAGGCAGATCATTTCACTTTAAAAAGCTTATGTTGGCTTACATTTCTTGGAATGCAAAGTTGAGAGGTCACATCTTATGCTAGCTATCTTGCTGATAAAATCCTGAGATAAGAGTAGAACTGTGAGCTGGGCAGTGGTGGCACATTTCTTTAATCCCAGCACTCAAGAGGTAGAAGGTAGGGGCAACTTTATTAGTTCAAGGCCAGTCTGATCTTCTGAGAAGGTTCTAGGACAGCTTCCAAAACTACAGCAAAATCCTGTCTTGAAAAACCAAGAAAAAAAAAAAAAAAAAGAACCCTGAATATTTACATGTTCTCTTCCTCTTCTCAGAAATCAACCATGATTCAACCATGGAGTTTCCATTCCTAATGGCATTATGTAATAATCCTACTTTCTATCCCCCAAAAACTTTACCTCTAAACACTGTGGACTAATAAATTTCCAGGAGTCTTAATATTTCACAGTTGAAATTTAATTTTAACCCATGGTCCTTTAGAAAAAACTCAGATCACTATAGTAGGGATCCATGTTAGCTCTTCTGATAGTGGAAGAAAACTGATTAGAGAAATTGTAGTTATCTTAGGCAGAACTAAGCATACCCTAACTGTAGGATGGTGAGGGACTCCCCCATAAAATGGGTAGATGTTCCCAATAGGGACATATGTATACACTAATTCTGCCAGCTCTCTTCTGAGACATATTGCTGGTATGCCATGAGGCTCATCCGCTGTGTATGAATGACCATGGATATGCTGCTTTTCCTTATAAAGAGACTGCCATACTCCAGTGTCAAGAATGGGTTTGATGAGGAGCCATGATGTTCATTTTATTTCCCATAGCCACTTTGAAGAATTCAATGGGTCTTAATTCCAGTTTAATGTGTGTTTTGAGTCATGTTGACAGACATGTCCATGAGTAAATGCTTGAGAATACTAATTCTTAAAGGCACCAAATTATAAATTTTTGTCTGTGTTTCTTAGACTCATGCCATCTCATTTGCTTACACCTACTCCTACTCAGCATCTTTGCTGTATTCTGCTTTCTTTCTCACTAGTCTACTTTACATACCAGTTTCTATTTTCTTATTTTAATCTTCCTAGATGCAAAGAAAAGTGTGTGGGAGAGAAGGATAAATTTGGAGACTTGCAAGCTTAGCATCTCTTCTATCCAAAACGCTGATCACAACATCAGTGGATGTCTGAAGGCTGATTCTGCTGTAACCTGGGTGGTTACACACTACCTTGCCTTTCATTGTGTCGGTCATCAGAGACAACAACTTGGCCTCTGGATTTACTGTGAATGTTTTTTTGCTAAATATGAGGTACTTGTGTATATATCTTAATGCATCATAAAATACTTTTCTTGCACTCCCATCCATATGTGTGTTTATGACATGGGACATTTAGGAAAGGAATTAAGTGTGTTTTTCCAGACATTGCTCCCTAATTGTGATCCATACAGCTGTTTTCCACATAGTAGCTCCTCCTCTCAACTTCTTTAGGCTCTCACTTTTACACATATCTTTCTTTTGGGAGTTTCAGAACCTAGTCTTGAAGCTCACTGTTTTCTTATGAGTCCCACAAGCTCCAGCATCCTTCTTTGAAGCTACTTGCTTTAATAGCCCAAGATTGTTCATGATCCCTTTTCATTTTCAGCTCCCCTAGTCTTCCTCACCCCATAAACTGCTAGTCAGAATTGTCTATTGCTTTTAAAAGTAGCGGTAGACAGTGATCTTTGCACCTATGATTGATGCTAATGACCTACACATTGTATCAGGAATTTTTTTAGTTGAATGTAATTTGTGAGAGAGGGTTTGTTTGCACCTCCTCCTCCCCACACACTTATTTGTTTTAAGAGAGATTATATGGACAGTACCGGATATTCTCAAAATTTCTAAATAGCCTTCCTTGAGGAGTCAACAAAGTCTGGCAAATGAGGTTGAGGCAGGACCAAGCCCCTCCACCCACACCCATATTCCCTGTATCAAGCTGAGCAACGTATCCCACTATAGGGAATGGGCTCTAAAAGACCAGTTCATGCTATTGAAATAGGTCCTGGTACCACTGCCAACCCCTCACCCCCCTGCCAAACAGATCAGGTCACATAACTGTCACCCATACTCAGAGGGTCTAGTTAGGACCCATGCGGGATCCTCAGCTGTCAGTCCATAGTCTATGAGCTCCTACTAGCTCTGGTCAGATGTCTCTGTGGTCTTCCCCATCACAGTCTTGATCCCACCTGATTCATGTGATCCCTCCCTTCCTCTCTTCAACAAAACTCCAGTAGCTCACAGTCCAGTGCTTAGCTCGTGGGTCACTACATCTGCTTCCATTAGTTACTGGATATAGGTTCTATGATGACAGGGTAGTCACTAATCTGATTAAAGGAGAAAGCATGTTCAGACACCCTCTCCATTATTGCTAGGAGTCTTAGCTTGGGTAATCTGATGAGTGGATGGAAGTATAAAGGGGGGAGGCAGGGGACAGGAGAAAGGGAGGGAGAGAACTGGGGTTGTTGTTATGTAAGATTAAAAAATAATTTTTAAATAAAAATAAAACAAAACAAAGTTTCTAAATAGCCTAGGCTGACCTCTAACTCTTGGTTGTCTTGCCCAAGATATAGGACTGTAGGCATATACCTGCATGCCCAGCTGTAATACAGTTTATTCATTCTTTTCTTCACAACATAAATAATGAATTGTATACCTTTTGATATTTCTCAGTTCCTATCCTGCACTAATCTTTCCTGCTATGTTGCTGTTTGCATTTTAGTCTTTGACTCTTTGCTCTTTTTTGGAGAGGGGGGCTGCCAGCTCCCAAATAAATCATACACTCAGAGGCTTACTTTTTCTTATAAATACCCTGTCTTAGCTTGGCTTGTTTCTAGCCAGCTTTCTTAACTTAAATTGTCCCGACTACCTTTTGCCTCTGGGCTTTTTCCTTTTCTTACTTCTATATAGCTTACTTTTTTACTCTTACTCTGACTGGCTGTGTGGCTGGCTGGCTCTGACTTCCCTCATTGTTCTATCTTGCTCCTCCTTCTTCCTTTTCTCCTTACTCCTCCTACCTATTCTTTTTGCCTGCCAGCCCTGCCTATACTTTCTGCTGCCTTCCTATTGTCCCTTCAGCTCTTTATTAGAACATCAGGCATTTTAGACAAGCAAAAGAATTAAACAAATGTAGCATAAACAAAAGCAACACATCTTTATATCATTAAACTAATGTTCTACAGCATAAACAAATGTAGCACATCTTAAAATAATATTCTACATTGGTAAGCCTCTTTCAAGGTATTTTTAGCTTAAAGATGTTTTCTTTTTGTTTTTACATATTTTTTAAAAATCTACATGAAAGTGTACTTGAACTGCCTAGAGAGCTGTTGATGGTTGGCTTTTGAGGGAGGGGGAGAGTCAAGTTTCTTCTGATATATTAGAAGAAAAAAACATTCTAAATATGACCATTATAATTATGGTTCATAACTATGGCTACATCTAAACCCACTGACCTAAGAATTTTGTATAAAATGGATTATATGCTGCATAATCTGCTATGGTGACAATCTCCCTAACCACCTCTTCTTATCATGCTCAGGGAACAATTGCAAACTCATTGACATGTGTTCAGCTTCACAAACGTGCAGAGAAGATAGCAGTTATGCTGATGGAAAAGGGGCCACCTGCAAGATGGAGACCATGTGGCATTAGTCTACCCTCCAGGTAAAGCAATAGGATGAGACCTGACCCCCGAGAGGTAGCAAGGACAGCAATGGGAGGAGGGCACATTGTTGTCCCCAACTATACTTGTGGAGTTGCTGGGTTACTGCCTACCATGTTCTCTGTATCTGTTTAGATTCTCACCAGGCTGTTCTCATTCATGGGGCCTAAGCTACATGTTAACACTGCTTTAGAGGCTTAAAACAATACATACCCAAACTTTTATAGCTACATTTGATTAAGCTGTAAGGTGGTTCATATTATTGGTAGTAGTAAAGTTTTCAGCCTCTAGTCATAATCATACCATTGAAATGACATATAAATGAAACAACTAAGTTGTCTTAGCATGTTGTGTCTTTGCCTGATAAAGTGGGAACACATGGACCCTAGTCGTAAAGCTGGGGGAACCAGCATTGGACTGAACCAAGCCTTCCAAATATGGGTGTCTGTTAGGAGCACTGGGCAGTCTATGGGTCCTCTGACAGTGGAACCAGTATTTATCCCTAGTGCACAAATGGACTTTGAGAGCCCATTCTCCATTGGGGGCTACTCTCTCAGCCTAGATACACAGGGGAGGGCCTAGGCCCTCCCCCAAATAATATGACACACTTTAATGATCACCCATGGAAGGCCTCACCCTCCCTGGGGGAGTGTATTGGGGGGTGGTGGGGTCAGTCGAGGGGGCATGGGACAATGGAAGGGAGAGGGAACTGGGGTTAACATATAAAATAAGATTGCTTCAAAGAAAAAAATAGGAAAAAAGGGCAAGCCATAAGAAAGTAATACTGGAGACCAAAAGGCACAGGAAAGGAGCTCTTTAAAGGTCTGTTTCCTTAACTGTCTGAATTTTCCAAGACTAGAACTTTCACTGAGAAAGAGCAGTGGTGATCATTAAGCAATGTGACTGGCTTCATGTAAGTATTTCTGCTTTCCCTCTCATGTAGGAATAGACCTGATTGCTGCATTCTATGGTTGCCTGTATGCAGGCTGTGTGCCAATCACCGTGCGGCCCGCCACATCCACAGAACATTGCAACAACATTGCCTACAGTCAAGATGATTGTAGAGGTAACCAAGGCCTGAGTAGGAGGCTGTGTGCCTTTCACCTGCCTATGCTCAGGGGCATGCTGTGAGGCATAGACCTGTAGTCTCCTGGGGCAGCTACTAGCCGTACAAGTGGATTTGCAATGAAAGTAATAGAATTGGAAATAGTCTGTCTCCCAGGGAATTAATCATCTAGCTTAGGGAGTAAGAACCAAGCTGAGTAACATGGAAGCTTTGGCCAGCTGTGAGCAGCTATTGCAATGCATTGACACTGAGGGTGCCTCATATTGGCTCCATAGAGAAGGCTTCATCACCAAACACAAAGAAGCAATCTGAATGAAAAACAGTATTTTCTTCAAGTTCCTTTCTTCTGAATCTAGAAGGTTATCTTCCTTGTTTTTAGAGTGTATATGTTTGTTTTTAAGTATAAGGAAGTTGAAAAGACTAGTGTAGTGACATAGTCATTCTGTGGCACTGACCACGCCCATTGGGGTGGAGCCATGGGCAGATGCGACCTGTGGAAGGAGGTCTGAGGAAGAGCCAGGAAAAGCTCTCTTGCTGGCGGGATTCGAGCATCCGGTGGAATTTCCTAGTGTTCATCTGTCTAGGTTGTAAGTTATTTCTCCCCTGAATAAACATCTATTCGGCCTATTTGTTTATCTGATCCTTATTTTATCGCGATAGACTAGAGTATGTTTCTCTTATGGGAAGCAGAGTCAAAAGAAACGAAGAATAGTCCTGGTACCCTGGTGAATGTTCTCAGTAGCTTTGTGGGAACACTGCCAAGAAAGACAGTCCTGCTAGAAAATAGCTGCAATGTATCTACGTATGTAACTTTTGTGACTAGCACATGCTAAGAGAGAAGCCTCTGATGTTTTCTAGGGTGTGAGAATAATGCGAGGGAGTTCAGAACCTAGCCTCCAAGTGTTGCCTGGGTATATACTTGACCAGTGCTCCTGGTTTTGCCATACCCCCAGCTAGCTCTTGCGAATTAGTTTGGATGTTCTAGCAGGAGACCCTAGACTAGAGAATGGCCTTCTACTACTGGAAAAGGTCATCCTCTTCAACCATGAATGAACCTTCAGCAACGAGGCTCATGGAGCAATCAGGGAGGAAGAAGATACCCACCAAGCCAGCGAGATTAGCTGGATCAACACTGGCAGACCATGGGTGACATTTGCAGCCAGACCAGCTCCACTTCTTCAGCTAGCTCTTGGGAATTAAAGCTGTGTACATTTAATCTATAGGCATATAAATGATGAGCCCTTCCAAGATGTATTCATTCCTTTACTTCTTGTCTTTGGTCCTCAGGTGAGTCGCTCTGCTTGTCTCATGACAACACAACTGATCTGTAAACTGCTAAGGTCCAGGGAGGCGGCAGCACTGTAGATGTCAGGACATGGCCTCTCATACTGGACACAGGTCAGCACTTGGACTAGCTTCCACATACATTTGTTTGTTGTGGTCTTTACTGTATGAAAGTAGACTGATTGCTTTGTTTTCTTCTGCAGATGATTTGCCAAAGAAGCGGCCTACCCAGATCTACAAACCTTCCAACCCAGACACGCTGGCTTACCTTGACTTTAGTGTGTCCACAACCGGGATGCTAGCTGGTGTAAAGGTAAGAAGAGGAGGGGTCTGCCCAATGTGCAGACCAGTGGTGGACAACAGACAAGCCATGCACTGATTGTTCACTAATGTTATATATGATTGTGTTCCCATGATGCATAGAGAGAGGTGTGATATGATTTTCATATAAGCTATGACATATGTGACCTTTTGATACCCAACAGCTACTTTCCAAATAATCTGGGGAAAGCTGGGGACATGACTTACTCATACATCCCTTACCTAGCATGTTCACCGCCCTGAATTCAATCTTCAGTACTGAAGGAAAAAAAAACCTAACAAATTTGTCATATTGTCAGAGCTTACTGCATACTAGAATGCTATATACAGTCTTCTTGCTTGCTACCCTTCTTACTCAGCTCTGCATTTTTGTACTGCATTCTTTTCTTATTAAGCTTGAACATAATCATAACCCTGTAAGATTGACACTTGGTGAAGCTACCATGAGAGCCTTTTGACTGTCAAAGGATAGAACTACTGATGTCACCTAACATCAGCATCCTCACAGTTCAGGTGTCAGGGTCTTGAACTAAAGCCTGAACTAAAGTCTTTTCCTCTGTGTTGCATTGGGACAGTTTCAGCTGGTTACCTGTTACTTAGTTCTCAGATTTGATGTCTTCAGTGGAATAGAGAAAGCATGCCCAAGTATCTAAGAATATTAAATAATTTTTCTTTTAGAAAATAACTTCCTAAAAGAAATATTCTCAGAGCAAGATGAGTTAATTACTGTCATCCTCAAGTGAGCTTTGAATTCCTTCCTGTCAGAGCCAAAATATAAACCCATCCTTCCAGTTATTCTCATGAAGCATGGAAGTGGGAACTATAATATTAAATCATAATTTAATAAAGATATATCTACATGAAACAGATACTATGATATGTGTTATTATTTCCTGGTGACTCAATTTAATTCTTAAACACCATAGAAAAACTCAGAGAGATGGGTAACTAGAATTTATTTCAAACTCTTAAAATGTTTTTCCAATTTTTGATGATCTGTTTGCTGAATATGTGAAAAGAAGTATATTGTAGTATCAGTTAACAGAACCCTTTAATTTTAAGGGCTGAAATGCCCTTAAAATAGGAGAAGTTGTCTGGCATATTGTCTCCTCTAATATCTGTCTCTTTAGTCCCATAAGGTTGCAGAGACACCATTTTTCTCTGGAAGAAATTCTTACTTAATTTTAGCTATTGAACAAAAGCATTCAGTTGTATACCATGAAAGTTAGAAGAATCTGTGTGTGTTTTCTCTGTAATTGATGCTTTGAAATGTCAGGATTCATATAAAACAGAAGGATACATGAAGGTGCTATAGCTAATTCTTACATTTTACCCATTTAATTGTGTTATGTTGGACTTGGAATGATCTGTGGCACGCATAGTTGTATACCTCCAGGGAAAGGACACTAACTTAACATCAGGCAAAGCAAAATGGTACTGAAATACAAATCTGCTTAGGACATGTCATGTATTATATCATAGTGCAACCAATATAAGCAGTACATAGGTTTGAGGCTGTCTCACATCTGATGCACATGGATTCAGGGATCTGCTTTTGGTGCATCTCAAAGTCCTTTGTTGCTTGGAATCTGGCAAAAGATAATTCTTTATTCAAGTCTGAGGTTATCTAGTAAAAATCAGGAATTTACACTTCATACCAAAATAGATTCCCAATTTAGGGCCCAGATTGGAATGTGCTTAGAAGATGGAAGGTTTTGTGTGGTTTGGTTTTGTTGTTGTTGTTGTTGTTTTTGGTTTTTGGCTTTTTTCCCTGTGTTGTTTTTTATTAACCTGTTTGTCCTCATGCCACTGTGTTAGAACTACTCTCAAAACCTAGAAGATTCCATAGCTCCCAGCCAGGGAGATGTGAGCACCCTTCTTTCCACTGTCTTTATATTGATCATATTTGGAAAAGTGCTGGCAGACCTTGTAGTTTCCCACTGTGTCTGAACTGTCCACCACATGATGAATTCTTGTTATTTGTTATAGAGAGAATCTCTGTACCTGAAACTGGTTTGGAATTTACTATGTGGCTCAGACTGCCTTAAAATTTGCAGCAGTCGGTTTGCCCAAGATTCCCAAGAGCTGAATAACAGTGTACCACACCTGGTTGTAGTTTTGTTTTGTTTTAATTCCTAGCACTGAATACAGTGCCTTGTAAAGTAACAGAACAAGCACTTAGCATAGCAGATTTAACCTAATGAACAGAAGGGCTGTTTTCTGGTTCTGCATGGTTCCCTTCCCAGTGCATCTAGGAAGTAAAGGTTGCTTTGATCACTTACCTTGAGTACTTGGTAGGAGAATTTACTAAGATTCAAAGAATGACAGGATCTTAGAGGAACATGGTATAACTATAGCTTTGTTTTTCCATTAAGTAGAAGCTATGGATCTGTGTGTTTACATACACTTACATATACACATACATACATACATACATACATACATACATACATACATACATACATTGCATTTTAAAGTAACTCTCCATTACTGGGATGAATTCAGCAAGTAGATCATAATACAGCCTTTCCCTTTCTTCTGACAATGAACTGACACTTGATAATGAAAGGACGCTCCACCCTTCTTTCTTTTATCTCGGCTAAGTGAATAAAGTGTTGAATGAATGGATTGGATTTCCTTGTTTGTGTTCTTTACTAGTTCAGTTTATAAATTAGCACTGCAGTGGCAAGCTGCTTCACATTTAACTTGTGACATATTTTAACCCATCATATCAAATACAGCTTTCTAAGCTTCCTTGACTTCTCAGCAGTTGACTTGGTTATCAAGTTCTCACAAAAACAATGATATTGTTAAATACAATCTGTGGTGTTTCAGAATTCGTTACCGTGTTTATTGTACAAGATCTATTCTGAGGGGAAGAGAGGAAGAGGGTTACACCGAAAGAGCTTCACTGTCTTCCATACTACACAGAGATAGGGTTTGACTGTGATTTCATTGTGGAATAGTCATATATAGGAAGGACCCGAGGGTTACCCTAGGAGGTTCCAGGGCTTTACTTCTGGGAAACTCATTTATGTGATTTTCAGCATGTTCTTTCACTTATGAGGCACATAAACATGAGATTCCCGTGCTTACAAAGTATAGGCACCTGCATATAGTGAGCAGGTGCTGTAAGGGTCCCTGAACTTCAAGGGAAATAAAAACCCAGTCTCTATTGCAGAGGTGGTCATGGAGCCTCATACCTTCATCTACCTGTAGGCAGTTATGTGGACTCAGGAATCCCTGTATATATACTGTTTTTCATATTCAAAGCATTCTCGTTTCCCCACTGCTGGAGTTACAAGGAGAGTCAAGAAGTTTTGAGTGAGGTTTATTTGTTCAAAATGGAAGCCTTCTAAGTGTAATGACTCCTGAATGTAATCCACACAACTCAGAAGGTTAAGGTAGAAAGATTGCCACAAATTAAAAGCCAGAGTAGGCTTTGTGGTGAGTTCCAGGCCACCTTGGGTGACATGTGAGAGAACATGTCTACTACCTTCCCTTACCCATCCACCCTCAAAAAAAAAGAAGGAAAGTAGGAAGAGTAATGAGAAAGAACATCAGCATCCACCTTCCAGAACAATGTGACCCAAGCTCACTTTGGCTATCTCTGTCTCTAAAAGTATCTTAGGGGCATTTAATGTTCATTGCCATGAAATTAGAAATGTCCCACAGATGTCACTGGAAGCTGGGTGTATAGTCACTTATTTTTTACTTCCTTTCTGTCTTTCAGATGTCTCATGCAGCCACCAGTGCCTTTTGCCGCTCTATTGGCTGCAATGTGAGCTTTCACCCCTTCTAGAGAAGTGGCCATCTGCTTGGACCCTTACTGTGGGCTTGGGTTTGTCCTCTGGTGTCTCTGCAGGTGAGATTCTTCCTAACATCCTTAAATTAATTGTTTTTGTTTTTCAAAGAAAAAAAAACCTTTATCTTCTTCTCTGTGGAGCTGAGTACAAAAACCCCAACCATATGTCTCTCACTGAGACCCCATCTCAGTACCAGAATGAGTTCTGTAGCACTTTTACTTCCTATAGTAGTTGAATAGCATTTTAAGGAAACAGCCAGTGGGTAAACTACCTTTGCTAAGGTGTAGGGTGGTGTCTTCTGCAAGCTAAGTTTTTATTACCATCAGAAGACTATCAGATTTAAGTCTACAACCTGAAACCCTGGAGTCATGCCTTCTAGAGGTTATCAAAATTTTCACCTCCTCTTGTCTTTTCCCTAATTTTACAAAGTGGTAGCCTTGGACTGTGGGGGGGGACTATGAAGTCTTGGCTCACTTCTGTGGTTATTGATACCAGCTTGTTGCTGGCTCTTAGAAAATGCTCAGCAAATACTTAAAGAATGAATGAATGATGGAATAGAATACACAAATTGCTGGCTCTCTTTTTCTGAATATATATATATATATATATATATATATATATATATATATATATTTTATATATATTCTTTTCTGTAGATATTTTTATTTCTTAAAATAAATACAAAGGTAAGTGTGATGTCACACCCCTGTAAGTCTAGCACTTAGGAGATAAAGAACGGAGGATCAGGAGTTCAGATGAGCTTGAGCATTGTAGCATGTTTGAAACTTGCCTGGAACTTGCCTGGAGACATGTGAGCCTTTCTCAGAAAACAAAACTGAAGAATGTAGCTGTTAAGAATACCAGTTAATCAGTAGTGGTCTCAGTAAGTGTCCAGGATTAGCAAGATGGCATATAGTATTCCAGGGTGTCTTTTCTAATGTAGCATAATTTCCAATTAGCATTTTCTAGTACATCTCTAAGTGTATAAATATGCTAAAGTAGGTAGCAGTGTTCCTTGCCCATCTGTCATGACTATCAACAGGTTCTCAATTTTCTTTCTTGGATTTTTCTGTGGGTTGGTTTTTATTTTGCTTTTTTGTTCACTGTATATTATTTTTTTCTGTTATTTTTGTAGTTACTATGCATTATTTGTGTTTTAATACAAATACAACATTTTATCTATGGATGTTTATGCTATAAATTTCAGAAGTATACATTAAAACTGTTGTATAATTGAGGTAATTATGTGTAATTTTTTTTCTATTTATTTCTTATTAGTTCATTGTGGTTCTTTTCTTGTGAATTTGAATATGAATAATTATTTTTAGTGTATTTGTAGTTATCTGGATATTAATTTAGTATTTTAATTCTACTAAAGTCTAAATGTGTATGTTTCAAGTAGTACATTGTATTTAGACAATTCAGCTTTTGAAAAAGCAAGCAGAATTGAAACAATGACATGCTTAGTAGCTTTCTGTGTACCTCAATACAGATGGAATTGCATTGAATTTTTTAGCCCTCAGGAGAGAGCTCACCAGAATATCTTATTCTATCAGCAGGGGCCATATGCTTGAAACCATCTATGCCAGCGGAAGAGGAAGATATGAGTTTGTTCTAAACATTATTCTCTAAAGAAAAGAGGAACTATAGCATTTTTAGAAAAGAACTCATCAACATATAGTCAGTAATGGAAAACTGTTTGGTTCTGCAGGCCTACCAGGTGTCATCCCCACAACATCCTCAGAGAAGGGGCTTGTTTCTTAAGAGAATATGTTCTTGGATTTGAATGATCTTAAAAGGGTTGTTCTGTGCTGTTAAGCTAGCCCCTTTATTAACATATGTTCTTTCAAATTCCTCCACAAGGTTCAAAGCTAAAGTATTCTGGGCTGGGATGGCCTCAATGGTAAAATATTATAGAAGGCATGAGTTTGATCCCAAGAACCCAAGTTAAAAATGCTAGGTATGTAGGGATGAACACTGTAATCCCGTGCACTAAGGTTAGAGTAGAGAAATGGGATCCTGGTGTTGGTGGTCAGTCCCCCTAATCTCCTTGACAATGTGAGAGGGTTAATGTGAGAGCTTGTCTCAGAAAAACAGAAACAACTCCAAGGTGGAATGGTGCCTAGGAACAATAGCTAAGGTTGTCCTCTTATTTTCCATACACATATACATGCACAAAAAAAGCGCTACAATGTTTTGCTGATTGCCTCTGATCTGAAACAATAAAGGCAACTATGTAAATATAAACAAAATGGATCTGCACGCATATCACAAGTGCTTGCTTTAAAAAAAATTCATGTTGGGTTTTAATGCACAATCACTAATAAGCGTTACAAAGAATAAGAAGTTTTCATTACCCATGTGAGCCAGCATCTAGGACTAGGGACCGTCCAAAGACAATCTTTTGTGCAAAAATGTTTTAAGTGGTGTGTAAATATGCAGATAGCACAGGGAGTGTATCAGGATGAGTAGAGAACAGACTAGTATGGCTATGAAAGCTTAGGAAGAGGAGGAGAACATCCATGGTGGAAGTGACTGGTGCCAGCTTTGAGAGTGAAGTGATAGGAGGAACTATAGGGGACTGGGCAGCACGTGGAAGAATTGTTTCGTGGGGGACTAAAAATAAATTTAAATGTTTAAAATAATGAAGCTGGATTCTGGCTATAGGTTCAGAAAGTAGTTAATGCTTGTGTTGCATTCAGCTTTGTGTGTTAGTGTGAATTTGTGTTTTCCAAACATGCATCAATCAGTAGATTTAGAAATGTGGTTTGTAGGGAGGCTCAGTGGATATGTAGTGTTTGCTCTATAAACACAAGGCCCTCTAATTTGAATCTCCAGCACCTACATTAAAAAAAAAAAAAAAAAAAGTGGCATGGGTCATGGGTTTGTGTGTGTCTGTAACCTCAGCATTACTGGGTGGAGAGAAATAATTCCACCTCACCAGTTATTCTGCCTAAGTAAAATGGTTAGCTCCTTTATCCAGTTCAGTGACAGGAGCCTGTCTCAAAGCTGTAATGCAGAGAGGTAGAGGAAGCATCTAATGCCTTGCTCTAAACTTGACATGAGTGTGCTCCTATACATACCTGCACTTTTCTATGACCACATGTTCACATGCATGCATGTGTGCACACATACACAAGTATGTATGTTCCTCTGTTTATGAATGAATATATCTTATGCATTCCTCAGCAACTGTCCTGAAAGGACCTGGCAATAGCTAACCCTAATAGAAGTTATCACAGTTTTTAACCCTATTTCATCTTATAAATACCTTATTCCCTATCAACACACTTGAACCTCTTTCAAGAAATAGACTTACTTCCAAGCTGGGGTTGAGTATGTGCAAACCGACCCCAAAATATCATCTAGGAAACAAGGGAAATGACCAAAATTTGTGAAGTCATATGAAAGTAGAGAGAGATATTTTAAGGTGAGTTCCCCCTGGGAGAGCTTTAAACAAATTGTGCACTTTCAAAATAACACTTGCAGCAGATGATAACATTCTAAGTCAAATAGAAAACTGTCTAACTATTGAAATTTAATTAGGTGAGCAAATTGAAAGTTGGTGAACAAGAAATTAAAATTAGCTGCCCACAAGAAACAGGTATTCATTGCAAAGGGCAAATGAGAAGTTGCACAGTGGAGAATCCTAGGTGGAAGGAATCAGAGGGGACTGTCTTCGCAGCGGGGGTGAGGGTTCTGCCCACATAATGTGCTGCACAAGGAATCAGCTTCATTCTTGCCAGTGCTGACTGACCTGATCCAATCCTGTGGAAACATCTGGCACCTAGGCTGAGGAACACAAGTGCCTGTCATCTTTCCAAGTTGTGGTGTATTGAGAGTAAATAAACCTTTAAAATTCATCTGCTTTAGGCAGAAGAAACCTGTGAGGACAGTGTAAGTGATGGCAGTTTTAACCAGACCCCTTCATACAAAACTTGTAATCAGAACAGCTGGTGAAGCTGAATAGGCTGTGAAATTTCTTGGAATGAATGTATTTGTTTTCAGATTTTGACAGCTTAATTGATTTATAAAGGAAATTATTTTGGTTCCTGGAAACTCCTCCACACTTCCTCCCCCACCAATATTATGTGTGGTTGATAAGTATATGAGGTTGGTAACTCAATATCAAATGAAGTAAAGGAAAATTTTTATTGACTATATTTGACACCTGTTTATGACTTTGTGGCTGTTTGAAAATTAAGAAAACTGTAAATACAAAAGAAATATATATATATATATATATGTGTGTGTGTGTGTGTGTGTGTGTGTGTATACATACATACATACATACATACATACATACAAAATTATCCTAAAGCAATTTTCAGTCATGGACTTGAAGATTTTATTGAAATTCATTAATAAAAATGGAATTGTTTTAAAATATATTCTAAGTTAACCATATTGTTTCAAGTGTGTCATAGACAGATGCTAGGAATGAATCTGAGTGGAAAAGGACTTGCTTAGCATATTGCAAAAGCCCTCAGTTGGATCCCGTATTGTACCTACTAAAAAGTATATATCAGATGCTTATATGCATGAATTGGAATGCTTAATGAAAATATCAATTTTACCAAACTGGGTCTATTGATTGAGTATAATCTCCACCAACCCTTAGCAGCCTTAATTGTAGAAATGGACAAAGCTGATCCTGGAAACAATGCCAAGGACTCCCTGATAGCCAACATGCTCTTATAATAGGATGTGCAAAATGTGGGATATAATCAAAGTACAGTGGTTCATGTGTATTAAGATGTTCATATTGAGCCAGGTGTTGGGGACACACCCTCTTAATCCCAGCACTTGGAGAGGCAGAGGCAGGTGGATCTCTCTGCAGGTTTGAGGTCAGCCTTGTAGCTACAGAGCTATTTCCTGGACAGGCTCCAAAGCAATACAGAAAAACCCTGTCTCATGAAAACAAAACAAACAAGCAAACAAAAAGATATCATATGGAAGCCTATTATTTTTGCATGCTAGCTAAAAAAAATAAAAGGTAGCATTCTATACTTTTTTGTTTGTTTGTTTGTTTGTTTTCCCCTTTGGTTTCTTTGTTTGT